TGCACTGTCTCAGAACAGGGAATGCTAATCCAAATTTCAGAGCTTCACCTAGACCTGCCTTTAATACCAGACATGCTTAAGGGTGAAAACAAGTTTATTCTGGCAAAGCAGGAGTTTAAATTCCTAATTGTGAGCACTGAAAGAAGATTACAAAAGAGAAAATAGAACGGGGTTGTGGATCGCGCTCCACGGCAGGATTCCTTCTGGTATCTCCCACCTGGGATCTCCTGGGCGTGTTGCAGCTGTTTTGCACCAGGGGAGGAGCTGCACATGGCACTGGGAGAGATGTGGGTCTAGATAGGACTGACAGCAACAGCTCCAGGAGCTGTGTGGGAAGTGGGGTGGTTTGTCTGACAGGCTGGTGCACTGAGGGGAAGTCTCAGCGGGAGCACTCGAGAGGCAGGAGGAGGTGAAAGAGCTGGAGCAGTGAAATCCAGCTCTGTGCAGAGGGGCTGGGAGGGAAGGAGGACAAACAGCAGGGACTTGAACCCACAGGCAACACAGTGAGTGATCTGAGCCCCAAAACAGCGAGGGCCCACAGGCAGCCTCGCTTCAGGCTTCTCTGACTGTTTGGGAAGGGCAGATGAGGGGACAAAAGCACTTTTTGGAAGAATAACAATAGCCTTGTAACACACTTGTTCAAAACCCAGCAACAGTTCAAGGCAGGCTTGGAAAATGTATTTGATAGACAAATAACAACTATCTGATGATGGGAGCCAGTCTGCAGCAGCACAAGCTAACGAGGAGTTTGGGATTGCCTGAGCAGCCAACAGCAGCAAGAATCTGCCTTAGAGACAAAGGGAAAAATTCCTACTGCAGAAGAACCTCAGGAATATCTTGGGAAATGGATAATCAGGGCACCCAGATGGGAGATTTAGCAAAGGGTTCAGCAGGAACTGTTCTATGGCAAGCCCTCAAACCAATTCTCACCAAGCAGTGATGGAGGGGGCTTGAGGTCCAAGAGGACAGAAAAATGGCAAAACCACAAAAGTACGACCTGTGAAAGCAGGGAAGGAGAACCTGGAGAGCAAACTTGTGCAGCTGAAGGATGCAAGAACAAATTATTAAATAATCAGTTTAAAGGTGCCAAGAGGATAATAAGATAATAAAGAAACATGGATGTGAATTTATGAGGGGTAAATCTTGCCTAACTAATTTAATAAATTCCTTCCATTTAGCAGCTCTGGGAGAAGCAATAAGTGAAATAAATCTTTGGTAAAGCCTTTGAGAGTTTTCTCTGACAGGAACAGCAGCTGGATAACCATTGTCCAGCTCACAGGTCTTGTATGAAGAAGGCAGTGATGGACTGGTTTTCATCTCCCTTTGGGAAAGAAAAATAGAAATCTGACTAATTTCAAGAAAGAAAATTTCTGTTAGAGGCCAAGAGAAAATGTCTTTGCTAAAAGGGATGTGGAACACAAGGAGAGGCCACGCAGGGAAGCTCTGGAACCCCCATCAGAGAACACTCAGGGGGCTTCTAATGGGCTGGTCTTGGAATTCCTCAGGGCAGCAGGTGGTGGGACTTGTTGGGCATCTCTCCCCCTTTCCAATGCCATGATGCCACAGGGTAGGGACGTGCAGGTGGCACTCCAGGTGTGCTCCACTTCGGACCTCCAGGTGTCTCTGATCTGGCAGTGGCTCTGGTGCAGCTGGGACTCACACCTCATGTGTGCTCTGCAGCTCTTTGAAGAGACCACAGACGCTTCTCCCTCTGCTTCCCAGTGTTTATCGCCCTCCTGCTGCTCTGCTTGCTGGAGGCCCTGCTCTTGGGGTGCTCCCTGAGCTGGGTTCTGAGTGTTGGATTGAGGTGTTAAGAGGTGACCATTGAGGCTTGTGGGTGGGACAGAGGACTGGAGATGATCAGTCACATACAGCTGGTGATGGATGTTGTCCATGAAAACAACAGAGAGGCTGGAACTTGTCAGGGACCAATCCCATTGTGGGGATCCCCCAAGAGCCATCCCTGCCAAGGCCCGTGTTCACCAGTGCTCCCACAGGTACACCCTCCAGTGCCACATGGATTCAGGAGCTCCACTTGTACTCTGAACAGTCTGAAAGAAGGTTACAACAGTTTCTTGGCCAACCCAACAACAGTTCCCATCGGTGCCCTGTGTGTTCCTGCCAACACTGTGCTCAGAAGGACCCAACCACGGCCCTGCCCCTCCCTGGGCTGAGTTGTACAGGAACAGAGAACACACAGCTGGGCCCCAGGAGCTCTGGAGTGGCTTTGGGGCCTGGCCATGTTTCCATCTCTGTGCACAGCAGCTCCCACGGGCACAGCTGGCAAAACCCAGCATGAGTCTGTAGGAGATGAACCTCCTGTGCCCAAACTCAGAGCTCTCTGGTGATGGGAGTGCTTGGTGTGGGTGTCCCTCAACAGCTGAGCAGAGCAACTGAGGGACCAACAGCCTCAGCTCTTTGGAGCTTGGTCTGAGTTCCAAACTTGTTCTGGGGTTCCAAACCTGACACTTTGGAAATACTCCCAGTGAGGCTGCTCAGGTCATCCCTCTGTCATCCATCACCAAACTGTGCCAAAATGTCCTTTCCAAGCCAAGGGGAGGGTGAGTAAGTGCCTGAGCCCAGCCCTTGCTGTTGGACTCACATATAAAGGTCACCAGGCCACGTCTTCATGGACAAACTCTGCAGACATCTGGACGTGGCCAAAGCTTTCAGGTGTGGTTGGCACAAGAGCTGCCATCCACACTGCTCTGTGCAGCATCCCCAGCCCCTGGAAAGCTCTCCCATGGGAATGCCCAGACACGGGCTGGGTGCTGGAACACAAATCCTGCCACTTGCCTGCACATTTCCTTGTCCCCAGAGCAGGAAACAGCCACTGAAACAGTGTGTGATTACCTGGGAGATGGATGGGACCAAGCTGAGCTCTTCATATCTCAGTTCTTGTGAGATGTGGATGAAATATTCTGGCTGACTCAGCTGTCAGGAGGCTGCAGGTGCTTATTGTGTGTGTATTCACCACCAGCTTTCACCACCATCTATTGACTCATTTAGCAGAATCAATTCATTCCCTGTGTGCTGCATGTTTAAATTCCTGATGGCAGCCATTCCCAGCTGCTCCCAGGGATGTTTGTTGTGCAGGACATGCACCCTGTGCACTCTCTCCCTGGGAGACCTCATTGTCTTGCCTGTTTGTTCCTTTGCTTTGAAGCAAAGCCTGGAGGGTGCAGGTTCTGCTTCAGCCATGTGTGGTGTGTCTGTGCTTTCCTGCTGGCCCAGTGAAAGGCTGCACCTCTCCCCTCTGTTTTGTCCCTTTTTTTAGCTAAAGAGAGGCTGGTTTATCTTCCACAGGTGCCAAACCTTGCGTTCAACACCGAGAAAGTGCCTCAGCCCAGCCCTCCCTCTTGGGCTCACATTTAAAGGTCACCTGGTCACGTCCCTACGGAAGAGCTTTGCAGACATCTGGACGTGGCCAGAGCAGACAGAAGGCCCTTTGCTCATGGATGAAAGGCTGTGCTGAATGTACCCACTGTGTCTCTGTGCTGAGCAGTGTCCAGCCCAGCCCCAGCAGGAACTGGGTCACTGGGGTGAGCTGTTTGCTCAGGGATTTATCACCATTGTCTTACAAAGTCCTGGTCCTGGCTGAGGACCTGCACTACAGGGCTGCAAGTGTCTCCATAATCCTGCAAACAGAGCCAAGCTTTTCTTCTAAAGGACTCTTAAGAAGATCCCACTTAACTCCTGCCTCATCTTTGGTGACTCCAACACCTCCCTGGGCAATTAAGTCCAGTGTTTGATCTTGCAGTGATTTTTTTCCCTGATATCTGAACTCAGCCTCCCCTGGTTCAATATAAGGCTGTTTGCCCTCATCCTTTCCCTTGAGGAGACTGACCCCCACCTCAGCACAACCTCCTTGCAGGGAGCTGGAGAGAGCACTGAGACTCCCCCTGAGGCCCCCTCATCTTTATCCAACTCCTCTTCCCCTAGTTACCTTCTTTTATCCTGCTGTTTTGGGGCAAGGCTGTGAACCTTAATTATTTTAGGTCCTATTGAAATTGTTACAGGAATTTCAAGCAAAGAGCAGGAAAAGGTTTCGCTTGGGTTTCTGTTCTGTGTCTTTCCACTGTGCCAATAACACAAATTCCTGGTCTCTTCCTGGAAACCCTCCACAATTGTACAGTGTTTTGCACAAATGTTTCATGAAAGGCTGTTTTGGGACCATCTTGCCCCCTCGGCACAGGAGATGTGGTCATGGGCTGAATTCCACCAGCAGAGCCTGAGCTGACCCTCTGAACTCAGGGCTTGTGTTGAAATGGGGTCTTTTTTCCCCATCAGCTCAGGCCGGGGGGCACAACCAGCTTCATCCCAGCTCCAGCTCATCCTACTCTGGAAGGGGTAAAGCAGCATCTCCAGGTGAAGATTTGCTCCACTGCAAATGTGCATTTCCAGTGAGAGCAGGAGGGATTTCTGAAGAGGCAGGAAACTCCTAAATCTACTTTTTTTGACCCTGCACTCTTTCAGGCACAGCTCAGTCACAGAAGCACAGAATCATCAAGGGTGGAAGAGACCTTCAAGATCATCCAGTCAAACCACCAACCCAGCACCACCAGAGTCACCCCCAAACCATGTCCCCAAGTGCCCTATCCAGACACTTCTGGAACACTTCCAGAAATGGTGACTCTACCACCTCCCTGGGCAACTTATTCCAGGTCCTGATGTCTCTTTCAGTTCAATTTTTTTCTAATATCTGATCTGAGCCTCCCCTGCTGGAATTTAAAGCTCTTTTCTCTTGTCCTTTCATTTGAGATGTGGCAGAAGAGGCTGACCCCACCTCAGTACAGGCTCTTCTCAGGGTTTGTGTTGAAATGGGGTCTCTTTTCACCATCACCTCAGGCCTGGAGGCACAACCAGCTTCATCCCAGCTCCAGCTCATCCCTACTCTGGAAGGGGTAAAGCAGCATCTCCAGGTGAAGATGCTCCACTGCAAATGGGAAACCTCCTTTCATGGGGTTGTGGAGAGCACTGAGGTTCCCCCTGAGACCCCACTCGCTGCAGAGCTGTTCCTGCTCTTTCCATGGCTTTTCCTTGTGCAGCTGTGCTGCCTGTCCTGGACACCCTGCTGGCCACAGGTGTCCTCCTCTCTTCCCTACGTGACATTCCAGCTGCCGTTTCGCAGCGGCTCCTCTGTGTGTACACAGCACATCCTTCAGAAATGTTGGGAGCACGAGTTATTTCCCTGCTTGGCAGCCAGCACAAAGAATTGTTCCTTATATTGGCTACTTGAAAACAGGAAATGTTCTTTCCTCAGCTCTGCTTTCTAGCAGGGCTGGTTCCCCCCCACACACACACACACCACCCCGAGCTGTGCCTGTTCCCGAGCAGGATTTTGGTCATGGCACACACTGTCTCATTTGCATGAGATCTGCATACAGCATGTCCTGGGGTTACAGCTGCGAGTACAGTGTGCTGGTTTTAGCTCAGCTGCTGGATACACTCAGGTCAACCCCCGAAAAACACAAGCAGCGAGTTGGTTGTTGTTTTTGTTGTTTTTTTTTTTTTTTTCAAGTTCTGCTGCCACTGAGCACTCCTCAGTTTGGAGTTTGGAGCTTTAGCTGTGGTGGAAAGCAGAAGAAACACTCTCTGGAGTCCCTTAACTTTTTTTTTTTAAACTTTTAACTTTTGCTGCTGGCTTTGGCTTTCCACCTCTGGACGCATCTGGATTAGTATTTTCTGTCTGATCACACCTGTGTGTGTATCTGATTCTTGTCATGCAGGAGGTTTGGAAAGAGGATAGGGCTGGATTGGAAGCCAGACAAGGGGGGCATTTCATCAGCAGGCAATAGGTTTTTTGGGAGCAGGAGGAGAGCAATCAATGCCTACAGTTCCTTGTTTTCTTAACCATGCTCCTGTTCTATCTTTGCTGGGAGATTTATGAGCCTCCCCATGTTGGACAAACACCAATAATAGTCGAACATTTTTAGCACCTGAGTGCTTTGCTTTGCCTGGCTCCGTGTGGAGAGACAAGTCCAGGCAAGGTGGTCCTGCAGCAAATGGTTTATTGGGACAGGGTGCTGGCCTGCAGCCACAGCACCCTGGGCAGTGATCTTATCAGACCTCCTGAACAGAGCAGGGTTGGGCCTGTTTGTTGCTCCATGAAGACCTCCGAGGAGAGCCCGGGTGTTGCAAGACCCTGGTGTCAATTGTTCCCTGCAGAGGAACCAGCCCCTGGTGCAGCCTCCGAGCTGAAACGGCCCCAGCTCGTGGGGTGCAGCAGCTGAACTGGGGCTGAGGAGCAGGAGGAACAAACAAAAGCCAGATCTGTGTTCTCAGTGGTGTTCAAAGTCCAGGAGGAACTGGCTGTTGACTTCCAGGGGGATCTGGGCAGCTGAACACTGCAGGTTCCTCTGGGAATCCCAGCCCAACAGTGTGTCTTTGAAGAGTTCAGCTGATTTGGCTGAGAATACCAGCAAGGGTTGGCTTGTCTCTTCTGTCAGCCAGCTTTGATATGAGGGCAGAACTTCACCTTGACTTCCAGCCCTCTGGAAGTGCTCTCGTTCCGTTTTCCACTGAGTGCTGCCTTGCCTGGCAGGTTCAGTGTGATCCCAGTGAAAACAACCACATCCATAACGGGGGCATTTTGGCCTTGACGTGGCTGGACCTTTGAGGTCCACTAAGCTGCCAAATCAAGGAGTTCTGTTGACCTTTGAGACACCTTGGAGTGTCTGAGACACCTGCACAGGGTGACAGATCGGCAGGGGCTGTGGAAGATCCATTCTCTCCTGCTGGGAGGGGCTGCAGTGTTGGTCACTGCACTGAACTGCCCATGGCCATGGGTTTTGGGGCCAGAGTGGACTCATTTGTCTTCAGGATGAGACTCAGCTCGGAATTGAGGCAGCTGAGTGCAGGTGCCCACACCTGAGATGCTCATCAGGGGTCTGAGGTCTGGTTCAGCCCATGGTCAGTCACTCAGCTGAGTCCAGAGCCCACCCTGAGCAGGTGACCAGCTGGGTCACTCTTTAGGCTCCACTGCCCAAGGGCTCAGCTCCTTCAGCCAGAGACATTTCAAGTGACCTGCTTATCCCACCCAGTCTCCAGCTCCCACTGCAGCAAATCAGGTGTCCAGGGCTTCTTCCACATGTTTGCTCCCGGTGGATATTTGGGATACCTTAAGTTGCCTGAAAGGACAGCTGATGTGTGTATAGGGGAAAGGCAAAGACCACTCCACGTGTCCAACACCTTTAATGTGAGCTGAGAGCTGCAGTCACGAGGATTGGAGGTGTCTTAAATGCAGACTGAACCTACCCCCCTTTCTGGCCTTTGAAAAGTCCAGGACAGTTTTCACTTTTCTGTGAATATTGCACTGGGTTTTATAATGTTTGAGGAAAGATCTTTTGTCATTTTGGTGTTATTCACAACAGGCTCTTCTATTACTGCAACAAAATCTATTTCCATTCATGCCTCTGTGCCTTCCTTGAATGAAGCAGCAGACAAACAAGCTAGAGGGAAATGCAGCTTGTCAGAATGATGTCTGATGGAAATGAACCTGTGAGAAACGCTGGCATTGCTTTTCCTCCCTCCTTTTCTCCTGTTTTGAATGCAGAGATTTTGGGGTAAGGGCTTCTCTTACCACATCACACACAGATTTCAGTTGCTTGGCCTCAGTTGTGATGCTGTACAACCAACAAACACTAATCTT